CTGGTGACGTGCATAAGGAGGAACTACTGCTGGGTAGGCTTTGCATTCAGGAACAGATCTTCCAGCGTTGTCACACTGGTTGTAGCTCCTTTGACTTGGTTTATCACTGGTGAATGATTATCATATAGATGATATATCTGTAATATAGATATAAAAAAGACATTTTTTACAACGAGGGTGGTAAAACACTGTAGCAGGTTGCCCAGAGGAGTTGTGGATGCCCCATCCCTGGAAGTGTTCAAGGCCAGGTTGAATGGGATTTTGAGCAACCTGATCCTAGTGGAAGGTGTCCCTGCCCATGGCAGGGGGGTTGGAACTAGATGATCTTTAAGATGATCCCTTCCAACCCAAACCATTCTATGATTCTATGTCATAGTAGAAGGATGGTCCAGCTGACCTTGCACAGTGTAACTTGCAAGAGCAAATTACTTGTGCTGTGATTTCTGTGATTTCTCACAGATGTTGCTGCTTTGGCATGCTGTGCTTGATGCTTTAGGGCTGATGTGTCTACTGCCTGCTGAGAGGGAGCTTTTAGTTGCTTTTACTATGAAAGAAGTACCTAAAAGAAGGGTTGCTTTAAGAGTCTGAGGTGGAGGCCAGGTTGAAGTGAAGAGTGAGAAATGTGAAGTTCTCCTATCCAAGTGAAGAGATAGGAGAAAATGTCTTCAAGATGAAGAGAGGTACTAAGCTGCAAATCTTGGAGATGTGGCCCAGATAGTGAAGAGGAGATGTTGGAAGAAGGTGAGGCTGAGATATCAGCAGAAGAATCAACCTCCTGTGAGACTGGGCAACCTCCATCTGCATCAGATATCCAGGGAGAGCAGGGCAATACTTCATCTCCTGTGGAAGGGAGGTGGAGGGACACTGAACACTATAGCAGGTGCTTTACTCACATGAGGAGGAGAATCACAGAGCTACCCACAAACCAGCAATTCCTTCATGACTGTCTTTGGCCAAATGGTTGTACAGGGAGATTTGGTGTCTGACTTTTAAATTTTTTCTCCTGAAATGCTGCAATGTTTGTTCAACCTTGCAGCTGTCAGCAGCCCAGCTCATGACCATCAGTGAAGACCAGCTAGCAGGTGTCTTCTGAGCTTGTGAGAGGGACAGGAGGGACAAATACACCCTCACAAATAACTGTCCTCTCTGACAACGTGTCTCCTCTGGAACCGGAGGTCTGATGTTGGGCAGTGCTTCTGCTCGAGAGCTCCCCGGTCCTTCCTTGGAGGATGGGGACCTTCTATTGTCTCCAGCGCTGGTGACAGTGAGGACGACATGTCGCCAACCTAATGAGACCTGACAAATGGGCAATTGGGCTGCTGCTTAGGGAATTTAACGGTTAATTTCCATAGCGCCGTGTCGGGGCAAAGGGCAGGAAGAAGTAATCCTGCTGCAGAGCGCGGATGGGGATGCCTTTCCGTCTGAAAGGTGCTGGTGAAGCTGGAAAGATTAAGTTAACTAGGACTTCTGTGTCAGCGCCCGAGACCTTTTGTAAACAGACTGTATGATCTAAATACCGTGTGACTATTTCCCCGAACTGCAATCCGGTATCGAATTCAGAGCGGGCCATGCCATGTTGTATTAGGTCGGTGGGTGCACGCCACTGCAGAGGGCTGCTGCCTCTGGAAAGCAGCTGAGATAATTCACAAGGAAAAAACGTGTGTCCATAACACTGGAGAACGAGGCTGTTCCACGTTGTAGTAGCCGTTTGGAAGAAATATTTTTTTGTACAGCGTTTGGTGGTTTTGGCTGCAAGCCGTGAACTGAAAGGGGCTTGTGAGCAAATGGAAAAGTCTCCGTGCTCTTGATAAAGCTTCTTGGGGCTTAGGGTCTTCATGGAGAGAAGCCATCTTCTCAATTGGATGTAGTATATATGTACACGTATTTCGCCCCCCTGTGAAAGATAGAGCTATGAGTACCTATGTGTACATACTCTAAATAGGAAATATTGAGTATGCAGGTTTCTGACAGTAGGTACTGCTGAAGTATCTAGTAGGACAACAGAAGTATCTATTTTCATACTACTTGTGTGTGTATGAAATGACCAGGTAGAACATGTCTGCCATGAAGAGCAGTGACTATAACGGTGGCAAATGTTTTGTTCAACAAATACTTTCAACTTCAGTAAGTGCCGTCGTTCAGAGCAGTGGCCAGGCTGGCCTCGCTCTGGTCTGCTCAGGGTTGTTTTGTAACACAGGATTTCTAAAATTTTAATTCCTTACTTATAATTAAATCTGTTTCAAACATATAAAATAGAGGTGGTGAAGCAAATGCTATATATTCATCTGTGGTTCTTTTGCAACTCATTAGAAGCTGTCTTGGTGATTAAGCTACTTGGTAATTACCAGAGGCAGGGTGTGAGTATTTTTAGCGTGCAGCTGGAGGGTTTCTGCCACCCTTTTCAGGCAGGACTGACAGCCACTTGTCTTCTGAATCTGATGACGAGGCAAGAACTAACAGCTACCCACAGATGTTTGGAGATGGGCTGGACAAGCTCTCGGTCCCATAAAAGGGAGCAGGCACGATAGAGGGAAAACTGGTGTCCTCAACTGGAAGACTTTGATCAGTACTATAAATACAAGTGGGTTTTGTGATTATGGTGAGAAAACCCAACAGATTCATTTCTTATTGTACTTGGGAGGAACTCTTGCTGCTGTTTTAATCTTGCTATGTTTTAACTTAAAATATTGCTATTTGTCCTTTATGGTGACAACATATGGTAATCCTAGGTTGCTGCTAAGAGTTCGTGTTGAGCTATGAGAAGCTCCTGTCCTTAGGATAGGGATCCTAATAATTTTTTGTGCTGTAACACAGGATTGCTTCAGAGACCATGTGAACCAACAAAGAGTTTCACTGCAAACTGCTGATTTATTGAAATGAGTAACAGGGCTTGTAAAACCTGCCTTGGTTTCTTAGGGGTAAAAAATAATCCCCAAATCCTCCTCTCCTCCAAACCTTCATGATCTCTAAGGTCTTTTCCAACCTAGAAATTCTATTAAATTCATTATCTTAACAGTATGAATATTAAGCGATTTCCACGTGTGAAAACCCAGTTGCCGTTGAGCGGCTCTGGTCAAGCAGTGAGCAGAGAGGATGACGTGCGTGCGGTGATGGACAGGTCTCCTCTTGAGTAGGGAAGGAGACACTGAGCTCGGGAGTCCCAACACATCTTGTTTCCTCGTGCTGAGCATCGCGTGTGACTTGTGTTACGTATAGATACGTGCCCTGACAGCAAATTCTCCCGGAGCAGAGCGTGTCTACCCAGTGCCGTTGCTTGTGCAGCTGATGGCTCCTGTTGTCCTTGGCTCAGGACCATCAGGACAGTGTTGGCATTCGGCCAGCTCAGCTCCAGGTCAATGCATATTTAGCCTTGAGGAGCTCAAAACCGTGAACAGTCCTGAATCCGCGCACGTGCTCCGCTCCCTCGCTGAGGTGGGCTCCAGCTGGCTTGGCTGGGAGCTCTTCCTCCAGACCCCACAAGAGCCACTGGTCCCATTTCTTTTGTCTTTCGCGTGGCTGGCAGAGCCTTCTTGTATTTCCTTTCTGCATCTGATCAGGATTTCATTTTCCCCTGGCTGATACGCATCTGTGGAGCAAACCCAATGGAAATTGGCGTTTCCCTCTTTGTAGGGTTAAACCAACAAAGTTTAATGCACCACTCTGTGTGTTATCTGTTTCCCTCAGTATTTTTATGGATTTTGCGGTGTTTTAGTAAAAGGGTTGTTTTCAGATAAGAGCTGAGGATAACAACAGCCCCCCTGACGGACACAGTGCTGCCAGTCCCCTGTGTGGGTCTCTGCTGCCAGACAAACGTTTGGAGGCAGAGGTGGAAGGTGACATCCCCACCCTTGGAACATCTTTCCTGAAAAAACAAAACAAAACAAAAAATTGATTTATTAAACAACAGCTACCACACTTTCAAAGTTGCTTAGGAAATATCTGAATACTGCAGACCTCGTGGTCAGTCTGGGTGGAAAAAAAACAAAGCCCAACCCTGTGTGTGCTGGGTGGATGCCAGGGGAAACCAGTGGCTCCTGCCTGGCTCGGCAACCGTGTCCTCATGGGGCTTTCCTGTCCTGCTTGGTTTTCAAGGCACGCTTTTGTCATATTTAAGGAATTGTAATAATATGAGCTGTCTATTTAGTGATGTGTTAGTGTTGTCTGCTCCTGGAGGGAGCAGGGATGGAGATGCTCCTGAAAGCTGCTGGTTTTGGGGACAGCTTCACAAGTGGTACCGCAGCAGGTGTTTGTTTCTGCTTAAATTAGTTCCCTTCATCCAGGGACATTTGGAAAATACTCTGCATCGTTTGTCACAGAGGGTATAAGACCTGTTGGAGCATGGGTGAGGAAAATATGATAATTATTTTGTGTTATTAGCTGAAGTTAGAGACAAGCTGCAGCAGCTGGAGCTCCTCGCCTTTCCCGAGGTATGTGGAAAGTAATGTGGAGCTTCTGGTTTGCTGAAAAGGTGTGTTTTTGATGGTTGTGAGGCTGTGTTGGAGTGTGGGTGTGGGAGACCAATCACTGTTCCCCCAGGCATCCCAACAGGCCTCCAGTTACCCTGTTTCCTTTCTTCCTGGTCTAATTTTGCAATTTTCCAGTATTCTCTGAAAGAAGCAGTTAAATCCCATCACGGTGCAGTCTCTGATGACTTTATCAACATCCGAGTGAGGTTTTGGCAAACCAGTTGCCAACTGGTTAAACTGTAAACGGTGACAAACCCAACCACCCTGCCCCTTGGCTCCCATTTACAACACTCTGGCTGGAAGAGGATTTTCCCGAGTCCTTTTCCCACATGGTGCCGGGGATGTCGCTGAAGCCGAGCCAAAGTAACCGCGCCGCTGCCTGCCCCACGGGAGGGCAGCTCCGAGGTTCATAGGAGCATCATGGTTTTGGTGAGGTTGGGTTGCTGGGGGCCAAGGTGGCTCCTGGCAGGTTTGCTCCGCTCA